CAAATCATGACCTCATTTGCATAATTTATGAGAAAGTGCTATAATAGCCTTTTTGTGAAGATAAGGTTGTCATCGGGTGGAAAATATGATCAACTGATATAATCCATGCTAATGAGGCTCTTATTTTCAAAATCAATGATTAAAATTGTATGATTCTTCAACCGCAAGGGTTAACATCATTTGGCGAAGGTATGAGATCGTGGAACTCTTGTTGGTACTGCTTCATGATGATCACCCAATAGAATGTTCAACGGATTTTCTATATTAAGATAAAGTCCAGTTTTTTGTTAAACCATTTCTGAACAGTCAGCCAAAATTTAAACACCTTTCTGCAATCACAAAAAAGGTGTTTTGTTGTTTCTTCTTCTTCTGCACACAAGGCACACAGTGGAGATTCTTTTAGTTTCCAAATGTATAATAGTCTATTTATTGCTAAAAATTTATGTATTAATTTGAATTGAAACATTCTGGTAGGGGGGTCGATTGTTATTCTATAAATGAGGAGAAAAACTTCCTTCCACGGAATTATGTCGTTCAGTTCGTCTTCCCAGTAAGCCATAATGCTCCTTGGGTGATCATTTACATTGTTGTTTTCTAAAAAGAAATTGTACACTTTTTTATTAATCTTAAGTCCTCTCATCCATTCATAATTGCGTAACAGAGGTCTGCATACATTACTAACATTTCTCACATTATAACATTTCAATTTACTAACAGATTGGGAGACTGTTGATGTTAGTCCATTGTAAACAAATTCCGGAATACATGTAGACAGATTAAATTTCAATCTTAATTCTCTATAAGACAATATTTTCCCATCTGCATCTAAAATATCATGTACAAACAGAATTCCCTGGTCCAGCATCTCCTTCCATAAGAATGGTTCATCATCAATCTTAAAATGCCAATTATACCATAGAACATGGGATTGGGAACCATTCTCAGGAGGGTTGAACTGGAATGATAACCACGTGTACAATACATCTAGGAAAAATACACTTACACCTGGGAGCTCTCGCTTCAAAAAACTTTCAATTTGTCATTTCCGATTTTTAAAAATGGAAACAGACCCTTTCTAAATACAATATGTGTGTTTGATAACAGTCTTGAACAAAACCAGAGTGTATTATGATACAGCTTAGGAACCCATGATGCTTTTAAGGAAGCATCAAAGGCGCACAGATTGATAAGCTGTAACCCACCACATTTATATGAACTATACAATACCCTTCTCTTTACCCTTTCCGGACCATTATTCCAAATGAATTTGAATATTTTCTTTTCATACTGTTGAAAAAAGTTGTGATCCGGGTGCAAAAAGCGAGACAACCAATGAATTGATAACTGTAATTTTGCCATACAATGAGAGTGATCTTTTTCTCCACGGGAGTAATGTGGAGTCTAGTTTCTTAAGGCATTTACTGCAATTGATGGACGTGATTTCATCCATGTTGACCGCGGGACATGCGTCCCTAACAGATCAAAGGGACCATCGGTCCATTCTACGCTGTACTGACTAGGTATCTCAAAGTCTGTACCTTTAAGAGAACCCACTCTAATTACCTTACACTTATCGTAGTTAGGTGTAAGACCGGAGAGTTTGCTAAAATTGTTACCTCCGGGGAAGGAGATATCCTTCCGCGAGGAGGTTTTACTATGGTTCGAAACATTTCTGTCAGCAGCTGTTTCTCGCGATCGGCTGGACGGATTTGTCTGTGGTTCGGTATACGTATTGCTATTGGGCTGCAGATGATGCAGAACGTTTTTGTTTAATTGCATATGTGTTTATGGGCGTCGAAATAAAAGGTTTTTAAGTGCTCCGGACACCCCCGCCATGCTGAAAATGGTAATTACCATGTTGTTAAGGAATGGGGCGGTTGCAGTATATAGTAGAGGGGATTCATTCCTCAAGCTACCGACATCTTGCACACGCAGTCGTCCCTCAGTAAGACATCTGGAGCCGCATAGTTCCCGTTTAGAACTTTTATTCAGCCTGTCACACGACCGGTTTCGCCTGTGTGGCTTCTTCAAGTGTACAGAGGCTAATGACACAAGTGCATGAAGTTCTCACTTATATACCTTTCCAGTGCATAGTGCCCTCAGGTCAGTTACATGGCGTTCAGAATGCCTTGACCTGTTACATAGTTCGTTTTGACCTTGGTTGACCTACTACATGACGTCATCTATTGTTCTAGAACAATTAAACATGTCATAAAGGTCTTGTTTACCATGTTACACAAAACGAAAAATAAAGAGAAATCCATCTTCTTCGAAGTGTAGTCTTCTCCCCTGGCTGTTTTTCCCG